CTTGTGGCTCTGCACAACTCCCTGACAGGAGGGGGCAGCCGGGGGGGTCGGGCTCTGTTCCCAGGGAACAGGGACCGAACGTAAACGGCAGTGAGTTCACCCAGACGAGGTTTAAATGGGATTTTCTGGACCTTCCTCATCACTGAAAGGGTGGTTAATCCTTGGAACAAACTGTCCGGGGCGATGGTGGAGTCAGCATCTCTGTCAGCGCTCCAGAAGCRCTGCCGGTGGCCCTTGGGGCCGCGGCTCCGGGGTGATGGGGCGCTGCTGGGTGCCGGGGGGACGCGGAGATATCCCGGTCGCTGTCAATGTCGCTGTCGCTGCCCCTCTCCCCGCTACGCATGGTCCGGCGCTCCCCGCGCTYGGTTCCGGCGCTCCCCGGGCGGGGCGGGGCTGCGCAGGCGCGGGGCGGCCATGGCGACTTTCTTCGGGGAGGTGGTGGTGGCTCCGTCCCGGGCCGGCCTGGATGAGGAGGAGGAGGCGCGGGAGGAGACGCCCGAGGACCGCGAGATCCGCAGGGAGATTGAGAAGAAAAGGTGCCGGCAGCGCGGTTCGGGACAGGCTGAGGCTGGAGAGCAGGGAAAGGTTCTTCTGTCCCCAGAGGGTGCTGGCACTGCCCAGGCTCCCCAGGGAACGGGCACGGCCCCGAGGCTGCCAGAGCTCCAGGAGCGTTTGGACAGCGCTGCCAGGGATGCACAGGCTGGGATTGCTGGGGGTGGGCAGGGACAGGGGTGGCACTGGGTGATCCTGGGGGTCCCTYSCAGCTCAGGATATTCTGTGGTTCTTTTCCCAGGGAGGTCGATGTGCTGTGGACCTGGAGGTCGGGCGGCGGTGGCGAGGAGCCCCTGGTGTGCTCCAAGTTCATCGTGGCTATAGGAAGGAACGCTTCAGGTGCGTGCAGACCCAGCTGCTGCTGGGGATTTTGGGGGTAAATTTGAAGAGGCAGAAGGTGGKAGTGAGGTGTAAACGTGCCAGGACATTTYCTGCTCCCAGCCYYAATGTCCAGCCTGGTCTTGGGCACTCAAAGGGATCCAGGGGCAGCCACAGCTTCTCTGGGCACCCTGTGCCAGGGCCTGCCCACCCTCCCAGGGAACAATTCCTGCCCAATATCCCATCTGTTCATGCCCTCCTTGAGTTAAAGCCATTCCCCCATGTCCTGTTACTCCATTCCCATGTGAAAAGTCCCTCTCCAGCCTTCTTTGACCCTCTCTATTTACTGAATGTCTAGCTCGTTTAGAAGAGTTTAAACCTGGAAGCAGCCGAGTTGTGCAAAGAAAGTTGGAGTTCCTCTGTACATGTAAAACACAGTTTTTGTTACAGCTGTTTATTCCTCCTGAAAATCCGTGTATTTTCAGTTCAACAGGAAAAGTGAAGTATTTTTTAGTTTAGGATTTTAGTTGGGACAATCCCCTTTTTCCTTTGCCTGACTTTGTTTGATAAATTCTCTGGGATTGTTTGTTAATTGGCAAAAGTTTTGTCCTAATATTACTGAGAAGTTTTGCTTGCACTTAAATTGCACTTAGATGACATTTAGATTTTRTCTAAGTTAACTTTGCTAATTTGTTTGGTTTTTGCTCAGATTTTTCCTTTGAAAAATGGTAATAGGTATTTTGGATCTGTCTTCTGCAGTTTTTGACAGGAATTTGATTTATGAACATTTTTGCCATACTCTTGCCTCTGCTTTCTAGAACTGATGTAATAATTCTKCCTTGCTTCTTCTGTGATTTTTATTCTTAATCTGTTATATCTCTTATATCAAGAAGTATTAGAGAATATTTACATCCTTAGTTAGCACTAAAGAAATTGAAGCTGCCTGTAGTGTTATAATTCCTGTGAGCACATAATTTTTATGTAAGGTATCTGTATATGTAGAACAGCTCTGTATCTTTTTTAAATTTGGATGCTGTTGGGCTGCTCAGATTGCTGATGTTTCCTGGATTTGGACAATAAATCTAAATTGATAAAAATGAGTTAATTCTTCCCTCCAATTCCAGAGGAATAATCTAATTCAGTCCAGCTATTTATTTGTAGAACAGAGGTTTTATTCTTTATAAATTAACAGTATTTTTGGGGATTTTGCAGCTTTCCTGTCGTCTTTCATTCTGGATTCTGTGTGCTGGGAAGTGGTTGGAGTTGTGAAGCTGTGGAATGAGTGGTGCCGGACATCCAGCACCACAAATGTCCTCCCCACCGACTCTTTCTGTTTGTTCTACAGATTGATATCAGATCCCACAGTAAGTGACTTGAGCATTAATTCCTCTGTGTTTTGGCTTTCTGGAAAATGGGATCTTCATCCATCCTCAAACAAAGCACTGCAGGTTCATAGAGTAATCTCATCAATCATCTGAGGGGTTAATGSTCACTAAAATTATGTGAGTTCTGGTGTGTGAAGCTCATCATAAAGATGCCACAGCCTGATGGCTTCACTGCAGTTTTGAGTGAAAAGTCCTCTTTGAAAGAGAGTTAAAGAAACCCAAAATAACTTAACAAGTTGTTGTCTGCAGCCACATCATCTGTGCATGTGATTATGAGCTGCTGTTGTGTTCTTTAGACCACTTGCTCACAAAAGTTTTTGCTTTTTTTAAGGTTTTATTGTGTCAGTGTAGTTGCTACGTTGCTGAGGATCAACAGTTCCAGTGGCTTGAGAAGGTAAAACTGGCAAGAAAATAAACATGAGAAATAAAATCCTGAGGGTGGGGATCTTTCTCTCTGATGCTTTAAACATGACATAGTTTAATAACTTTCCCCTGTGGTTTTCTTTTATTAAATATTCAAAAATAGATAATTTAGTCTCTGCAGAATCTGTGAAATCCCTTTCTGGGTGCTGTCAGCTGTGTCTGCTGTAACCTCCCAGTTGAGTGCAGTCACTCCTTCAGGACAGTTTCAATTTTATTGGCCCTTAAACACTTCCCAAATCTTTTTCCTGCTTGCTTTTCATTCCCTGTGGCTTATTTGAGCTCAGGGAGAGTCCTTCCTTAAAAAATAATAATTCGTACAGCTGCCAGAGGATCACCAGACAAACCAGTTGTGGAACTCCTGGTGGGTGGTGTCAGCTGATGGGTGTGTTCTGTGCCTTTCCCAAGGGGGAACTGTAGGGGAAGGGGCCTCCCAAGCAGCATTTGTCCCATTTKTTCACAGATTGAACATTGCCAGTGCCTCACCCCAGCATCACCCAGGTACAGGATGCTGCTGGCTCAGTGAAGTCCCTCCAAATATCATCATTTTGATCTTAATAACACAAAGCCGTAGGCGAATGTTCCATCTCTTGATTTTCCTGATGGATTTGGGTCACTGCTTTGCCTTGAGGAAGTGTGGCTGATTTTGTCTTGCTGKCTGTCTGTTCTCTCTCCCTGCCTACCTTTAAATCTCTGCTGAGCTGGTGGACAAGCAGGGATTCTGAAAGCTGTGGTTAGAGATAAGTAAGGCTTTAGGGAGAACCTGGCTTGTTTGGAAGTTTAGAAACCCTGAGACCTCAAGCATTCTGCTTTTGCTGTATTCCACACATTCCTGCWCTTCATTTAAACTGGGATTGCAAASRAAACTTGTCTGGGGGGTTGTTTTCCCCATTTGTGGATGTGTGTGTCTGTTCAAGYGTGGGTGTTCATGAACAGTGGCAGTATGGTTTTACCAAGCCAATGTTCCTGGGTATTTTTAGGCTTTGTGGTTATTAGTATTTTTAAATGTGCAGCAGAAACCTTGTGCTGGCAATCTTCTGCTTTGGATGTGAATTTCAGACCTGTTTTGTGTGTAAATCCTGATTTCCTGAGCATCTTCAGTCTCCATGACTCAGATCTTCACACTTATCTGTGTTTTCTCAGTAAGGGATCATTGACAGATGAAAACACAGAGACTCAAGTTTTGCACTCATGAATTCCAGCCAGTGTTCCTAACAAAGCATGTGGGAAATATGTGGGCTTCTGAATATTTCTGTGAGATTTCAGTCACAGTGGTGACACAGTGATGTGAGGGACCAGAATCCCTTCTGGGATTGGTATATAGACAGAAACAGGCAAGTTTCTGTCAGAGTTTCCAAATTCCCTATTTCCTTTTCTCCTCTYGGTGTTTTGTGATGGTCAGAATGTTTTGTATAATGGCTTTGAAATTCTGTTCTTTGAATTTGAGAAAGAAAACTTAGGATTCTTTTTCTCAATTCAACTTGAATAGAGTTAACTAAAATCTAAGTATTTAAAATAAAGGCTCTCGCAATATTTTAGGACATCTGGGGAGCATGATTTCCATTTCAAATGTCTTGCAACTCAGTGAACTGCCTGTCTTTGGAATAATTTTTCTTTCTACAGTCACCATTAACTAAAAAGAAAATCTTAATGTATTGTATAGAAAGTGCTGAAAACCTGAAACRTCTCCAAAAATCATTCAACCTGGTAGATATGTGAGCTTTTCTTTTGGGGTTTTTATCTCAATCCCAAGAGAAATGCATGGGAAATTTCTGCCTGAAAGCTATTATTCAAGCTGGTGTTAGTCCTGCAAAGCTGAGTTCAAGTTCCCTTTGCACTGAAATTTAAATGAATCTGAGATTTTCCTGCTTTTACTGTGAGAAAATTTGCTGATGGATTTTTTTAATTGCAGGTTTTTGGCTCCATGCAAAAGGAAGGCTTGCAAGTAACCATCCTCTCCACGTGTCCTGTAGCTGATTATAAAACTCAGGAATCCACTCTAACACTTGCATCTCCATTCCTGAAAGCTTTGAAGACCAAAGAATTCCAGGAGCAGGTCTGCTGCCCACTGCTGGAGCAGCCCAACATTGTGAGGGATCTTCCTGCTGCTGGTACTTGGCAATTCCAGTTATTTACAGGGCTGCTGGTGGCAATAGASAATTCTCTCTGAGGAGCTTCCCATTGCAGTTAGAATTTAAAAATTCATTTCTGAGAGTTCTACATCTTACACATTGCCCTGGAAAAGAGGGACAAATTTCCAAACCACCCWCAAATTCTTTTACCCTTTACATGTGTTACAAAATTACTGGAAAATTCTTCCTGATAGGCTTATGAGGCATGTTGTACAGTGTGTTTTGGGGGAATTTTACTTAGGAATTCATTAAGTTTTATTAAGAATTATTTTCATCGGAACATCCASAGTAAAGGGTCATAAAACCCTGTCTGTATATTCCAGGTAATGAAGGTTTCACAGGGATACTGATCAACCTCATGGCAAAGTTAGATTATAATTTAATAAAATAAAATTTTTAATTTAATTTAATAAAAACCTCAAGCTTTTCATTTTAGAATCCCAAATAGCAGCAGCATGAGGAAAAACTTGCCTGGCAGGAGAAAAAAGTGGATTGTTTTCTCTTGTTCACACTTCTTTTTATGTTTGGTTTTTTTTTTTGTTGTTTGGGCTTTTTGTTTGGGGTTTTTGCAGATGCTGCTATTATTTTTATTTACCAAAAATAACAGTTTCCAATTAAGGTATTTGCCAGGAAGAAATACCTGCATTTAATTAATTTGTGCTGGTTTATTTCCTTGTGTCCAATGGAAATGCATGAGTGGTGGCTGCTCCAACAGTCAGGAACCTGAGCTGTTAATTTAGAAACTTTAGGGTTTAATGTTCTCATTTTTATATACAGAGCTGAGAATCCTTTTTTTCCTGATTTTAACATCCATTTTCTTCTGCCTTGTGCTTAGTTCTGAGTTACTGCCAGGTGTGGCAGATCCCTGCAGTGCTGTACCAGTGTTACACTGATGTCATCAAGCTGGACACGGTTACCATCGAAGCCTTCAAGCCTCTGCTCTCTTCTAAAGTCCTGAAGAGTTTAGTCAARGTAAAATTTAATTTTAAAATTAATTTCAGTTTAAAATGGGAGGTTTGGGCTGGTTTTATCTGCTTTCATCTCTTGCATTCTGCTATTAGCGTACCTCTGAGGGGATTTCATCTGAAAAGGCAGAAAAATACAGATTTTCATGATACAGGACAGTGCTTGTACCTGCTGTAACATCTGCGTGGCTTAGAAATAATGAATACACAGCTTCCCTTAAAACTTCATTTTGAATTTTCAGGCTTTTCTAGTGGTATGAATTTATCAGGGAGGGATTTCCTGTGATTGAATGAGCTGCAGTTTCCTTTGGAGTTGTCTCATTTAAAACCTTTGATTTTTTTTGTTGTGGTTTTTTTTTTATTATTTTTGTTTTTATTTTACATTTTGTATTCTTATAGCAGATGGCTCTGTTCTAGCTCTGTATCTGCTTATCTTGTGGCATACAGGAAAGTGTCTTAAAATACTCATTTTTGACCTCCAACTTCTTTTTGTAACTAAAAGACCAAATTTCTGAAGATGGTTTTTAACATTTTTGCACTAATCCAACAGCTGTGAAATCCAGCCTGGCCTTGGAAACTTCCAGAGATCCAGGGGTAGCCACAATTTCTCTGATCAGCCTGTGCCAGGGCCTCACCACCTCACAATAAATCCYATTGCTCCCATAAATTCCCACTGCAGCTCCTAAAATGAATGTTTTGCTCTTTCTGAAATGTTTGAAATTGAAGTTTAGTTGGTTGAAGACACTTTGAACACAGATATAAAATGCCAGAGAGGTCTGTGTGTTCTGAGGTGTTTATTTCAGCTAGAAAGGCAGTGCAGCCCATTCTGCTTTGCTGAGTGAGTCTGACTAAGACATAAATATTGAAACTATTTAAACTAAATATTTAAACATTCTCTGAATGAGAACAAAGACAAATCAGACTCTTCCCCTCATAACCAAGCGAGGACAAATGCAAAATAATAAATCCCATTTTATTGCTGAGCTGCAAATTCCTGTGGATACCTTCATTCAGAAGACTTGAGTTTTGCTCATAGTTAATATTTTAATAAAAGTGATGTTCAGAGTGWTGAAAATGGGAACAGAAGCCACTGAGGGTCCTGTTTAATTCCCAGCAATGTGAGTGATGCTGATCCTCTGTTCCTTTCCCCAGGATGCGTCTGAAAGCACAAAGATTTTGAAGAAGTTCCTGACAACCAGTGAAAGTCACAATAATATCTACATCTGACAAGGACATTTATGCTGCACTTTTGTAAACTCCAGCTTCTTCTGTAGAGGACTTCTGGGAATTTTTTTCCCCCCTTAAAAGTAGAATAAATTCCAGTAGTTTTTTACTTTTCCAGTCATTTTTGTTGCTTTTAACTTCATCACTACAAATACCCTTCTTCATGGCTTGGGAGATTTTCTTCTGGAGTGATTTTAGAAACAATATCTTGGATATTAAAAGCAAATATTTTTCTCCTCCTGACGGGACTGTCTTACCTAAAAGTATTCCTTTTCTGTGTAAAAGAGGAAATGAAGTTAAGGAATTCTGTCTGCATCTAACAAGAACTCTCCTATTTTACTTCAGTTTGAGACCTAAAGGATTTTCTAATATTTGGTGCTCTTTAAAGATTTGTCTGTGATGGAGAAAATACATTCTCTGTCCTTTTACATACATAAATAYGGAGAATTTTGTTTGTGTTTATYTATGGCTCCACATACTTCTTTTAAYGTATGTGTTGATGCAAAATACAATAATTTAAGTATGGTAAATGCCTTTAAACGGGTTGCTAATGAAAAATGAAAAGACTGGTGAAAGGGGCTGGCAGGATCACTAGCTGCTTCAGCTGGATTTGCCAGGTCAAATGGTTCTAATCCACATTTAAAACACCAAAATTTGGGCAATGRTAGGAATAATAAAAGATGTCTTAGGCAGAGCATGTGAGTTTTAGWGGAAAGTAAAAGTTTTCAAAGTGTCTCAAAAAATTCTCTGGAAGTTGGTAACAATTTCAGCAGTTTATTAAAGCATTAACTAGGATTGAGGTGCAGTTCTGACTTGTATTGTCTCTTTTGTTTAACATTTTGTTTAAGAAAATGGTGTTAAASTCTTCAGTTGCTCCCAGGTGGTTCTGTTCTCTGCTGAGTGTAACTTTGATTTACACTGGATGCTCAGTGGGTATTTTTGAACAGTGTTTTCCTTTGCAGAACTGCCATGGATTTAAATTTCAGTTMAGGTAATTACAAAGAAACAAAGGTTGCCTAAAGTGGTCCTGGATTTTGGAACTGATTTTGGAACAAATTCTGAAGCCTGAAGTRCAGGATATGATTCCTTTTGTGATTGGTTGGGGTTTTTTTTTCCCCCACTTCTTCTGTCTTTTTAATTCTAAAATCGTTTTCTTTGTRATCTGAGCTGAGAATTTCATTGCTGTGAAAGCTGTCTGCACCATTTTCTTACTTAATTGTGATTGGTTCATAATAAATAAAGTAGATAACAAGAAATATCCCTAAATCTGCAGACCCTTAGAGAAGCTGTGGATGTATTTCTGGTAGTGGTGTGATCACCCAGGCAGTTTGCAATGGTTCAGAACAGTTGCTATATTATATTTAATTCAGTTTTTAGTACCTGGCTTTATGCTGAGGTGTAAGAATGCTCCTAAACACTTTGAACAAAAGTGGCAAACAAAACCCTGGCAGTTTGGAAGATTAAATCAGTCTGAAAACTGCTGTTTTGGCAGATTTCTTCAAGGCTTCTCTATTCTTGCTTCAAAGCTCTCCATAGCAGGAAATGTTTCTGTAGGATGTGGTAGGGAAGTACTATAGGGCAGTGAAATGAGATACTTTAATTTTAAATTCTGCCTTTTTCCATAATTTGATGTAGGAAGCAGCTCATATTCAACCCGTAAAATTCTGGAGGCCTCAAAACTAATGATGAACTTTGTCTCTCATAAGATCTGAGTGCTGAGTCAAGATTTTTTTCATATCTGATTGTTGTTGCCTTTTTTTTCCCTTCTGTGCTCTCTGGTATCTACCAAGAGCCTGCACTGAGGCTTTCTTGTTTCCTAACAGCTGCTGGGTTTAATCCTTGTAGGAGTTCACAGAATTCAGACTTGTCAAATGTGGCAGATGGCTTCAAAGYTTTGGGGGAAGATGTCTTTTCTTGCCTGTGGATCTGAAATGGGATTGTGTAAGACTTGCTTTCTTAAGCAAGTCGTTCATATTTGCTAAATGCAAACAGTGAAACCAGAGTAAACTGTTGGACTGGAAGAGGGTTTGGGGATTTTTTTTCCCCACTTTTTAAAACCGTTTAGACCACTTTTTTATCTTTTTTTTAGATAACACTGATGTGTCTTCTGCTGAATGTCTTTCAAACTGAGGGTTTTTCCCAAGTCCACTCTGCTTTGTCATGCTACAGAATKCATTAGGTAGGCAAAGGTGTTTTCCCATTCCTGAAGTCTCTGACTCCCAAGGTGCTGTGCTTGACCTAAAAGTCCTGGATTCAAGGTGCATTTTMTGGAGGCTCCTTGGTTTTTGCCTCGTAACCTGTTGGAGTCTGTGCAGGACAGGCCACAGGTGTGAGCACAGGACTGTGCAGACATAGTTAATGTCAAAGCCAGGAAATCTGGGATATATTTAAATTCTTTCACAATCTCCACATTTGGATGCCAAACCAGCAATAGTGCTGTTCCTGTGCTTTCATTTAAAGATCATCTTGTTCCAAGCTGTGGGCAGGGATACCTCCCACTGTCCCAGGCTGCTCCCAGCCCCAATGTCCAGCCTGGCCTTGGGCACTCARAGGGATCCAGGGGCAGCCACAGCTTCTCTGGGCACCCTGTGCCAGGGCCTGCCCACCCTCCCAGGGAACAATTCCTGCCCAATATCCCATCTGGCCCTGCCCTCTGGCACTGGGAAGCCGTTCCCTGGCTCCTGTCCCTGCAGCCCTTGCAAATTGTCTCTCCATGGTTCCTGTGGGCTCCTTCAGGCCCTGCAAGGCCACACTGAGCTCAGCCCACAGGCTGAACAATCCCAGCTCTCCCAGCCTTTCCTCCCAGCACAGCTGCTCCATCCCTCTGACCATCCTGCTGCCTCCTCTGGGCTCTCTCCAGCAGCTCCACGTCCTTCCTGTGCTGGGCCCCAGGGCTGGAGYAGCTCTGCAGGTGGGGTCTCACCTGAGCAATGGGGCACAGGGACAGAACCCCAACCCCTTTGCTGCTCCCACCCTGCTTTGTATGCAGAGACAGGATGCTCATCATTCCCACTCCTGGGAAAGGTCTCCTCTCACTGCATGGCTTTAGCAATCAGCTTAAATCTTCTTAAATTCCATCTTCACATTGGTTCTACCCTGCCAAGTACTTTCTGGCCAAAGCTTCAGAGGAAGAACATCACTTATGACATCTAATTCTACAGTTTTTATGCCAAAAAACTGAAAAAGTCAAGCATTTTGTTCTACCTCATTYTCTGATTTTTTAACATTCTGTTTTGTATCTAAAACAGATCTAAACGAGCTAAAAATAGAATGAGAAAAGCGATATTAATGATTTTACCTTTTTTTTTGGGTTCATTTTTTTCCCCCTTTCAGTGGTTTGGACTGAAAGTTTTGACAGCTGCTGCRCATGGCAGCAACCAGCACCTACAGGCACCTCCTGGAGCCAAGTGAGATCACAGCTCTGGGGTCAGCCTTTTTTTAGTTCASAGAAAACACTGAGATCCTGTTGAGAGGTCTCCCAGAATAGCTGATGAGCAGAGGTACTTGAGAATTCTGTGCAATAAATGCTGTGGGTAACAATGAACTCACAGGGGTGAAAATGCTAAGCACCTGTTTCAATTTGAGGTCGAGGCATCCTAAGGTGTCTTCGGTGAAGGAAGGCCACAGACCCCAAACTGTGTGTGTGGAAGAAGGCTAAAGTCCAATTTTTTCCTTTCAAACAGTTGGCATAACCAAAAGTTTAAAAGTTCATTGCATGGGAAATTTGGGGCATTGCTTTAAAGTAGAAAATGTTTCATGAGCACAATGATGTACCTTCAAAGGACAATTAACATAAAGTTTTTAGTGGAAAGACCTCAGCTTCTTCCMCTGTGTTTGAATCAGAGAATTCCGATGTGCTTTCATACACTGAAAACTCCATATTTCATGTTCAACGTCAATATTTTCATTCTTCTTTTAGGTTTGACTTGGTTTCCTTTTCATGAAATAAAAGCCATCTTTTTTCTGTGAGTTCCAGACACTTTAAAGCTGCTTCATGGGGAATTAACAAAAGGAGGGATGAATAATAATAGTAATAATGGGGTCACAATCACTGAAGGCAGCAGTTTGATTACTGAACAGATGAACAGAGAATGTAGAGCCTTGCTTAATTTAAAGAAAAAAAAAACCAAAGCAAACCTGTGGGAGGAAAGGTTGTGTGAGAACAGAGGCAGCCACCATGGAAAGGTGAGAGCACAGCAGAGAAAGCTTCAGCATCCATCATCCTATAAAATTAGGGTTGAAAGGGTTGTTGTAGAGGTGGAGCAGGGTGTAAGGTGGGTTTGCTGTTCCCTGCTGTCCCGAGAAGTGTTCCCACAGAATGCCTTTGTGCTGTTCCACTTAACTGGCTTCCAATGTGGGAATAAAAAGGTATTTTTGTGCAGAATAAGCCCAGTGAGAAGTACAAAATGCTGTGCCTGGCTATTTCCCCCCTTAAACCCTGGAGGAGACTTGCAAGAACCCCTGTGGCTGTTGTCAGAAACAGGCAAGGCTTTTTTTGTTCATTCCTTAGAAAGTGCTGGTGCAGAGCTGTTCAGCCTGGATCCAAAATTAAGAAAGCCCAGTGTAACTCCACCAGGTTGTTACTTTTTTTTTCCCAAGTGGCAGAAAAAAATTGGGATAACCTGGCAGTGTCATGAGTGAGGAGGTGCAACAGTGGATTCAGTGCAACAGTGGATTCAGTGCCTATCCTCTGAGTCCTCTTTGTTCTTCCACTTCCCTATGAGAAGCTGAGAGTGTAAGAATGTGTGTATAGAGGAATATTTACTTTTAAACAACTATTAAAATCTAGTAGGATTTTTTTAACAATCAGGTTTTTAATCAGTTTTTATAAGTAACCTGTTTCCCAGGTGTTGTGGGAGGCATATTTCCTATCTTTATGGACATGAACTTCATCTACAAGGTTTGTGGCAGAAATCTTGTGGCTTTAAGCCAAATATTAATCCCCACAGTGCCCAGTTGACACTCTGTCTGGCAAGGCAAGAAATTCTGAATAGTGCAGGTTGGTTCAGGCATAAAGTTCAGTGAAGATTTTGTTGGTTCTAACTGAATTCTTTACAGAATTTMTTTGCAGAAAAGGTTATTAAATATTGGCAGGGGCTGCCCAGGGAGGTTTGAAGTCCCCATATCTGGAGGTGTCCCAGGAAGGGCTGGAGGTGGCACTGAGTGCTCTGAGCTKGGGAMAARGTGGGCATCGAGCACAAGTTGGATTCCATGATGTTGGAGTTCTTTTCYAAYCTGAATTGTTCTGTGAATTTTGTGCTTTGTGTCCTACTGGACAATAATCCTATTATTTGCTTTCCTGAGCATCCCCGTATGGAGATGACTGAGGTCAGGTACTCAAAGCAATGGGTTGGTTTGCCCTGTGGTGCCCATTTGTGGCCACCAATGAGCCATTTCTAAGGCTCATGTAAATTTTAGTTTTTTGCTAAGGTTTTTCAGTTTAATAATTGTCTAAGGAAATCTGGGCWAAAATATTTCTTCAAATCAGTGCTGGAAATAAAACTTAGTATCAGCTCGGTTTTGAGATATTTTTTGACTCTATTCTGGTCCAGGCTCAGCTGTTTCTCATGGCTTTTGAGTTAAAGCAGGAAATCCTCTATTCCACTGAACTATAGAACCAGGGACTGATTTGGGCTGGGAGGSACCTGAAATCTCATCCAGTGCCACCCCTGCCATGGCAGGGACACCTCCCACTGTCCCAGGCTGCTCCCAGCCCCAATGTCCAGCCTGGCCTTGGGCACTCAAAGGGATCCAGGGGCAGCCACAGCTTCTCTGGGCACCCTGTGCCAGGGCCTGCCCACCCTC